TTTACATAGTCTTCGTGTATTAAGAAAATAATTTTTTAGTTTTATATAACATTACGATTTAAAAAACTTGTTTGTATGTAAGAGCATTTTAAATATCATATTGTTTCAATAAAGTATGGCGGCGATCAGCTGTCTTCTGTCATAATGACATTCATATTGATAAGCATAAGATTAAATATTTTTTAGAAATTATTTCGATTCGAGTGTTTGTGAATTACCATAATAATGCAAAATTATTTTTGTTTATGATATCATTTTATGTAGTATGAAAAATTTTTGAAAAGTAGAAAGATATTTACTGTTGCTCATCTGAAGTAAGCGGCAAGTGAACGCAGCTGCGTAAAAAAGCAATATGGTGACTAACGAATTAATCAAGTGTTGAGGATAATCAAGAATACAAATGTTTAATAATATTACCAACTTTTGGGATGGATGGTGGTGAAGTTGAGTGATGAACTTAACGTGATTAAAAGCCTTTCAGAGGCTAAAGGGAGGAAACCATGTGCGATGTATGTGTTGACTTTCACGACCTTCTGCTCTCCTGTAAGCAAAATGTGTACAATACCTTTCATGTTAACCTATTGTACTGCGTTGCATGTTGCAAACGTTCATTTTCACTTCAACTAATAGCTTAGCATAAACAATCTAGGAACAACTTGTTGCAAAAAAAGTACTGAGTTCATATTTATATATAACTTTTTGTACCATAAAAGTTCGTTTATAATATTATAATGTATAACCTTACTGCTTATGTATGATTTTAAGATCTTTTAATCGGTGCATGAATATGATTCATTAATAAATATGCACAAAAATGCAATATCTGAACATATTCTATTTTCAAAAAGTCGTAATTAATAATAAAATTGTACGACGTACTTAAATAGATGAAATGTTTGACTTAAGTAAAAAAATGATTGTAGTAATATAAGAATGTTTTCTTATATTGATTTGTCTTACTCTATAGGTATTTTATTCAAATTTACATATTGTATGTTTTTAATTTATAACTTACATTTAGATGATGAAAGATCATCAAAGGAACAAGATGGATTGGCAACACTTTGTATTTCGGATGTGGATACAACACTGCATTATGTTAATCAGTGGGTACAAAGGTGTGATCTCATCCTCATTTCTCAAAATGTGCAAAATAAATGTGTTGATAAATTCTTAATAGATTTCTTTTATTTCTATTTCAATACAATTTCTTTTTTCCTCTTTTATAGGCAATGCATGTGCTGTTATCGTGAAATAAAAAATTTTGATCGATTTATACGGCTAACTCAAAGTGTTGTATTATGTACATTACAACAGTTACAAGTTATACAACAAAATGGACAGCAAACAAATACTGGGAAAGCACCATCCAAAGACGAAAAAGAAGAAAAAAAGGCAGATGAAGCTAAGATAGAAAACTCAGATTTTGCACAAAATGAAACACAAACAAAACAAAATTGGTCTCAGCAGGATAGAGAAAAATTGTTTCATCTTCTTTCAAAAATATTTTTATTAAATTTTCCCCTTTACATTGCAATGAAGCATGGTGGTGCAATTAATCCATTGGCTCCAGTAAAAGTAAGATACTATTATGGAAAGTGTTTTTATTTAAATATATGTTTATACATTGTTATTTATTTTTATTTTAAAGGATGAAGGAGGTTATTGTGAGCCTCATGATCCAGAAGTGCCAGCTCCTTTAATTAGAGCAGTTTCTATATTTTGCCATCAAGGTGGTTTCAATTTAATGTCTGCTTGTTTTGATATGGAAAATACATTACCTGTTAGTCTTGCACATTCTATGGTTGCAGTGATTTGTAATTTAAAACTTTGGTTAAACTATGGTAGTGTTATTCAGCTCTTTATACCACTACGCAGCCGTGTTATGAAATATATGTGTCGCTTAGCAGATAAAGAATTACGCACACCAGCAGTTAGAACAATGGCAGGTAAATTTTGAAACAAATAAAATCTGAACACTTTTAATTAACATTTGTATATGTTTCTAATCATAAATTAAAATTTTTTTCTAAACTTAGATTTCATGTGGAGTGCTGTAAAAGATCCTATTGATGCTGTTTTACCCAGTTTTGATCGTGATGGGTTGGATTTAGCATTTAAATATTTTACTAGTACAACTTTAACTATGAGACTAGCTGGAATAGCTCAGATAAATGCTCATATCACTGCATTCAATGAACTTTGCAATAGTGAAACTGTCGCTGAAGTAGAACAAGTGGGCCATGCATTGGCTGCTTGGTTAACAGAAAATAATATAATAGCTCATATATTTGGACCAAATTTGCATGTAGAAGTTATTAAACAAAGTCACATTGTATTAAGTTTCTTAGCTATGGAAGGTAGAATCACATGTTCAGATATGGATACTATGTGGCAAGCTGCACAATTGAAACACTGCGGTCGTCCAGTATATGATTTATTGGCCCCTTTAGTAAAACATTTGGCTCCTACTCCAGTTTTACATTTGTACTCTTTGTTAGGAAAATTAGAGCCAAAGGACCACACAGAACAGAGTTTATTCCTGGCATCTGCTTTGATAAAATTCATTTGGACAGCAGGTGGTTCAGGTTATCCAAGAGGTTTACCTTTAAAAAATAGAGAAATTTTAAGAGGTAGTAGTGGTATAGGCGGTAGTAGTACTAGTGATCCTAGTGGAATGGATGGAAGCAGTCCAGATGAAGATGAAGAAGAACCAAGTCCTGCACCATCAGAAGGACCTTCACCGCGAAAACAAGCGAGAGGTGATAGCAGCGATGGGGAAGGTATGTTTTATATAAAAAGAACGTTCGTACTTTTAAATATGTACGATTTAAAACATAATATATATATATATATATACATACATATATGTAATAGGTCTGTTTAAAGCAAAAAGTGTGGGTACAGCAGTTGTACAAACATCCCTAAACGAGGCAGAAGATTCTGCAGTAGAAAAATCTGAGTGTCTTGCTGAATCAATGAAAGATTCTACATGTAGTATACAAGATGACATAAAAGAAAAACAGAGTGGTTCAGATGCTGAGGCAGATACAGAAAAGTCTAATGCAGAGGAAACAGTTGCAATAGAAAAAAGGAGAAGAAAAGTATTAAGGAAACGAAAGAAACCTCAAAAACGTTCATTAGTTACAGTAGATAAAACATTAGAAAACATTGTCAATGAAGAAAATAATGTAAAAACTAAAGATTTAATGTTGGATATAAAATATAGGCCGGAGGACGTTTTGAACAGTACTTTGGATGCTGGTGGATTAGTTTCAATGGACGATCCGAAAGGAGTCGATGCATTAGATCGCGTGAAACAGCAAGCAATGGCTTTAGATCCAAGTGATCAACAAGTTCCAACGGCGCTTTTAAGAAGAGCTAATAAAAATAAATATATGTCGTTAGTAGGTCATAATGTAGATCGAGCTCCTGATTCTGCAGACACTTCACACGATGAAGATGATAGTGATGTAGCCGGTGTTCTCGCAGCAGCTGATGGACCTGGTGCTGTTATATCGGAACTCGCTGGTTTAGTACATGCGACTGGACCAACATTTTTACCTTCAGGTTTAGATGAAATGCTTTCGGATGAAGAAGGATCCTACAGTAGTAGAATATCTAACAAAAGTGAAAAAAATATGGCAGATTTTGATGGAGAGGAGAGTGGTTGCGAAGAAGAATTAGCTCAATTAGCTGCACGTCATTTAACAGCTATACAAATGCAAGCTTACCATCCTCATCACACTCATCCAACAATGACAATTAGACGATCTGTTTGCCGTCCTCCACAAGTAAGAAGTATTCGGCAAACAGTAACACGAGTTAGTTCGCAATTCAATTTGGATACTGTATGTAAGTCTGGAAATACACTGTTATGGGATCTTTTGCAAGATGATAAAATTGGTCTATTGGGAGAAGGTTTAGCTCTAGAAGCTGAAAAAGCTTTGTGCAATCTCCTTTGCTTCAATGTTGATCGATTGATACCTATGAAATTCATAGAAGGTTGCTTAGAAAATCTTGCGAACAATCGTTCCGTGGTTGTATCTTTAAGGTTATTACCTAAATTACTTGCCAGTTTTCCACACTTTGGTGCAGTGGATGCACATACGATAACAACATGGGCTGATCGTGAGCGTGGAATGATGAAACACTTCTTTAATAACCTAAAAACGTATACTAGTACAGGGCCAAAAAATAGCTTGTATTCTCATCAAACAGAAATACAAGTTAGATTACAGTTTTTATCTTCTATTTTTTCACCTTTAGGTTCACCTGAATGTTTTCGTCTAAGTCTTGAACAGGTGGACATATTGTGGCAGTGTTTGTCACAAGATACAACATGTGCTGATGAACTTTTTAGTTGGTTGCTTAGTCAAGCAAAATCAACAGAGCAACATGCTCTTGGAATGGATACACTAAAACACTTATGTATGCGTAAATTGCCAAGTTTACCACCTGAAACTATCAGCATGACAGGCCTTAGTCTTTTCCAACAATTGTGCAACTTAGCCCGTTTAGCTGCCGCACACTTGGATAGACCTTTAAGAGATGTAGATTCAGTTGGTATGGATTTTTTGTGGAGAATTGCGTTAAAAGCTAAAAGTACGGATGTCAGTATGGCAGCTATACAATACCTAAATGGATATTACATGTCTAGACAATTAACTCAAGAAGCAGAGTTTGTTTCACAGTGTATGACTCACCTTGCTGCAGCTAGTGCTGATTTGGAAACGAACGAAGAAGCTAGTTTACGTTGTATACAAAGAGCTTTGTTACTCTTACGAACACATTTGGAAGCTTTCCGAAAACGGTATGCGTATCATTTACGTCGCTGGATATTGGAAGGTAGAGGTGCTGGTAGTCATGTAGCTATGAATACTTCGGAAAAAGGCCAACAATTAAGAATATTCGTACAACCTGCTGGAATCCCTGAAAAAACAAGTTTCATTCTTCTTAGTACTGATTATGTAGCTGATTTGAGAGCAGAAGTTGCTAAATGGTGGGATGATACTCAGAATAATCAAGAAAAATCATCATCTACTACAAATTCAAGTCAAAATAATGGTTCAGTGTTAGGATCTCTTCTGACTGATGGGCCAATTAGAATGATCACGCAAGGTCAAGAATTAACTAGTGATTTTGACGAAAAAACATTACAAGAAATGGGATTCAAAGATGGTCAATTAGTATTCATTTCACCTGGCGCTGGTCGAAATAATGCTACAGGTAGATGTAACAAACGAGATGTAGACTCACCATCTCTTTTGCCACCACCTCCTCGAGAGTCTTTACCGACATTACTGTTATTACGACCACAATATTTTGAACAACTGTTTACGCTAATGAGAACTTTAAGTGCTATGAAAACAGTTGTCAAAGGAGGACAGGAAATTCCTCATACAAAGGCCCAAGTACTGTCAAGAAGAGTTTGGGATACATTAACTTTACTACCAACTAGTCCAACTTTATTGAGAGGGTTTCAAAAATTGGGAGAAACAACTCTGCCAGAATTGTTAGATCCTGCTAGCCCTCAGAAATTGATGTATTCTTTATATATAGTGGAATCTTTAAGCAGACGTAGTACAACGAGTCAGCCTTCTGTTGTGAATTCTACATCCACGGCAACTGGTAACGAAGGCGAAGGCGATGTGCATGATAATCATGAAGACAAAGAGAAAGATGTTACTTGGTCCACATTGTTCGTTCAGCATGGAGGTTTGCGTCATTTGTTTGATATTTTTATGTCTGGATGTTTGGAACAAGGAGACGGTAGCGAGTGGCAGCAGGACTGTCTCGCTAGCTTGCTAAAACAACTGTGTTATTTGGGTGTTGTTAAGGAAGAGAAGAAACGAAATAAAGCAGATAAATTGCTTGTACCCAAACTTAGCGAAGCGATGCTTTCCATGATGAATGTCGAAGCTGTTATGTCTCGAATAACGAGCATATTAAATGAAGCATCTTTACCTAGAGACCCGAATCATTACAAAACAGGACTTTTTGGAAGATCACAAGTCATACACTATACTATGGCATTGTTAGTTTGTTGGGTACATAGTGATGAAACAGTTAAACAATATCTCTTTTCATCATCGGAGCCTTTTGGGAAGACGTGGTTACGAAGATTGATATTGGAAGATCCTGAGCCAGCAGTAAGAAGAGAAGTTTGCACTGCACTATACAGATTATGTCTTGGAACCACAGGATCTGAAGATGAAAAATCTGGTGTACCTAGTTTGATTGTACCAATGTTAAATACATTATTGGAACATCTTGTGATTGCAGAAGCAATGCAACCTTCTCACCGAAAACCAGATTTACCATTGCACTTACATCCAATGCTTGATGATGGGAAAGAACCTTATGGACCTGCTTGTAGGGATTATTTTTGGCTTGTTTGCGGATTAGTTGATTCCCTTCCAGAAGAAGCTATCAAAGAAGGTTCAGACGATTCTAATTTAACAATTGATCTTGAGGCTCTAGCGATAAGAGTTATTGATTCGGTTTTAAATAGAGATCATCTTGAGACACGTCATAATACAGTGGAAGACGATGGTCTAGTCGGATTATTAAATCTCACTTGCAACATAATGACACATAATCCACCTTGCAAACAAGGAAAAATCGGACAAAACTTATTACACGAAGTATTCGATTTTCTATTTGCATTACCCAATCCACGATCGAAACATGTTCCAAAATGTAAAAGTCAAGTGTCCAGATCAGCAGCTTTCGATCTCTTAGTCGAACTTGTAAAATCTGCTCCCGATAATTATAGAATTCTTCATGAAAAATTATTAACTCAGCATAAACCTGGCCCTCATTCTCCATATCCATGGGATTATTGGCCACACGAAGATGGACGTTCTGATTGCGGATATGTGGGTCTGACAAATTTAGGTGCCACTTGTTACATGGCTAGCTGTATGCAACATTTATATATGATGCCACAAGCACGTGTCTCCATACTAGGCGCTGATTGTAATAGGGCAAATAAGCACCAACTCACATTGAGAGAATTACAAAGAATGTTTGCTTATCTTTTAGAGTCTGAAAGAAAAGCGTATAATCCTCGAAGTTTCTGTCGGGTATATACTATGAATCACGAACCCCTCAATACTGGGGAACAAAAAGATATGGCCGAATTTTTTATAGATCTTGTATCTAAATTAGAAGAAATGACATCAGACTTGAAGAATTTGGTAAAAACACTATTCTGTGGTGTAATATCTAATAACGTTGTTTCGTTAGATTGCGAACATGTAAGTAGAACACTTGAAGAATTTTATACCGTACGTTGTCAGGTAGCTGACATGAGAAATCTTTATGAAAGTTTAGATGAAGTTACAGTTAAAGATACTTTAGAAGGAGATAACATGTACACATGTTCACAGTGTGGTAAGAAAGCAAGAGCAGAAAAAAGAGCATGTTTTAAAAAGTTGCCACACATATTATGCTTCAATACAATGAGATATACATTTAACATGGGAACTATGTTAAAAGAAAAAGTAAACACGCATTTTAGTTTTCCATTAAGATTAGATATGTCTGGATATGTTGAAAAAAAGCTTATGCCACAACATTATCAAGAAGAAAAGAAGGCATCTGAAAAGAGAAAATCTGAAAGTGATTGTCAATCAGGATTAGATGATGATGATGATGGTGAAATGGAACATTACCAGTATGACTTAATTGGTGTAACAGTTCATACTGGTACAGCTGATGGTGGACATTATTATAGTTTCATTAGAGATCGCACATCTCCAAATAAAGATAAATGGTTTTTATTCAATGATGCAGAAGTTAAGCCATTCGATCCAAATCAAATAGCGGCAGAATGTTTTGGTGGAGAAATGACAAGTAAAACTTACGATTCCGTTACGGATAAATTTATGGATTTCAGTTTTGAAAAAACTAATTCGGCATATATGCTTTTTTATGAATGGTGCGCTGATCCTGGCGATCAAGCAAAAGAGGAAGAAGCTACTGTTTCCAGCCCAAATGGGCGACAATCTTTTTCATTGATTCACAAGAATACTAATAAACTACCACCTTTAGAACTAAATAAAGAACTTGAAGATTGGATATGGCAGGATAATATGCACTTTTTACAAGATAAAAATATATTTGAACATACGTACTTCACATTTATGTGGCAAATATGCGGCTACATACCACAAACATTACTCTCTGTACAACCTGATATAACAGAAATGTCAGCAGACCTTTCAACTTCATTTTTTATGGAAACCTTCATCCATGCTAAGGAAAAACCAACTATGGTACAATGGGTAGAGTTATTAACAAAACAGTTTAATGGTTCAGCTGGTGCATGTGCTAGATTTCTTGAAAAAATGGCTGGAGATTCATGGTGGCCAATTCAGATCCTAGTCAAATGCCCTAATCAAATGGTGAGACAGATGTTCCAAAGGCTATGCATTCATGTGATACAACGATTACGCGCTACTCAAGCACCTTTATATCTTCTTTGCGGTGAAGAAAATGACGTGAATACTGTCGGTACGCGATCATGCGTGACAAGATTTGTGAGAATGCTTTTGTCTCTCATGGAACATGCGAAACAGCATTTAAAACATCTTACGGAATATTTTAGTTTTTTATATGAATTTAGTAAAATGGGCGAGGAAGAAACGTTGTTTCTAATAAGGGTACAAAAAACACATGAATTTGTTGATGCAGTCAGTGAAGAAGAAGAGGAAGAAGAAATAGTTGCTATGCCAACAGAAAAATTGAGACCTGCTTCATTAGATAAAATGATCACATTGATAGCAACATTGGTTGAACGTAGTAGAGGACCTGATCACAGGTATATTCATTAATTCTATTCTATATAAAAAAAAAACTAATAATATAGAGACGTTATCAATCTCAATCAAACACGAAACTTAATACAATCTTTATGTCGTTGGAATGATAGATTAGCCATACATATTGTAACAATGATATTTCAAGCTATAACAAAACATACCGATGTTTGCCAACCATTTTTCAAACTTCTGACATTGTTAACGGAGAGTTCAGGATTAAGTGGATTGCCGTGTATGACTCAATTAATTCTGGGCAGAGTTTGGGAAGCAGCTAGAGTTGCTCCACATGGAGCACTAGAATGGTTAGCTTTAGCTGTAACAAGAAGTAAACTTGCACATGCTTGGGTGTTACAAGGATTAGATACATGGCTGCAACATTTTTTATTGGAACATTCAAATCAAAGAGTTCGGTCTGCAGCTGCTTTTCTTCTCGTATCATTGGTTCCATCGACTCATTTTAGACAGGGTTACCGCAGTGCGCATAGATTAGGTTTAGGATGCAATAATTCTAGAGAACTGCAACTGTCCCCAGAAGCTACTTTAATTTTGCATAAAATATATACAGCACTTTTAAGATTATTGCAGCCTGCAAGACATTACATTGATATACAAACTCATGGTACAATGAAACTCACTGCCTATTTTGCATTACTCACATATTGTGTTGTCTCTAAGACGGAAAAATTAATGGTAAGCATCACGCAATATTGTATTGTAATTTAATTACTTTACTGTAAAATATTTGTTTTTAGTTTGGACAATATTTGAATGACTTATGGACACTTTTTCATCCAAAACTTTCTGAGCCTAGCATTCCAGTGCATCATAATAAACAAGCTGTGTTGCTCTTTTGGTATCATGTTTGTTCTGATTGTCCGGAAAATGTCGCTCTTATACTTCATAATCCTCACATCACTAAGAATATTGCATTTAACTATATACTGTACGTATCATTTTTTTGTGTATGAATAGTGGTTGCAGGATCTTTTTAAAGTTATACATATTTTTTAGTGCCGATCATGAAGATCAGGATGTGGTATTATTTAACCGAGTAATGTTACCGGCTTACTATGGTTTATTACGACTTTGCTGTCAACAATCACGCACTTTTACAAGACAACTAGCTGCACATCAAAATATTCAGTGGGCATTCAAAAATATAACACCCCATCCTACACAATATTCAACTGTGAGATATATATTAACTTAGAGACTATTTTTTCTACTTATACAGCTTATATGTATAAAATAGAGTATATTTTTCTCGTAGGCTGTGGATGAATTATTTAAATTAATGCAATTACTGGTTGCAAGACATTCTGATCAAACAGAACAAGAAGAAGCTGAAATTGCGTCATTCAGAAGAGGAACTTTGTCTTCGTACTTACAAGGACTGGATGGACGTTCATGTTGGGCTACACTTATTTCTGCTTTTCGGTATAAAATTAAATATTTCTTTCCATTTTTTATTATGTAAAAATATCAGTTGATATATATGTATATATTTATATAAAATTAATATCTTACAGCATCCTGATTGAATCAGATGATGATCGTCTCTATGTTGTATACAATGGAGGATTAAGTATGGCTTTGGAAGCATTTCATATGCTGCATATCATGTATCACGAAGCAACAGCATGTCATGTCGCTGGTGACTTAGCTGAACTAATAGCCATCATTGTGGAACTTGTACGATGTATTAGAACCGCTAGAGATGGTCCCGATGCAAGGAATATATTAGCAAATTGCAAAGAATGGCCAGATATTTTACGGAAATTAGCAACATTGCTGAATACATACAATCCCCCAGATATGAGAAATCTGGCTATAGATCTTTTGAACTTCAAGAGTCTCATGCTGCCGTTCCACCTGGCCCGTATCTTCCACGAAGATCTACTCCTCCAGGAAAAATGCCAACCCGACCAGCTAGACCGATGGTTCAAATGGCAGTACCACATTCTCAACTGGAGGCATCAAAAGGAGTAGATCCTGAATATGATAATGCTTTACTTGAATTTTATTTGCCATATCACGAACTGATTGATGTAATGTGCAGATTAGCAATTAATAACGATTGTATGACAGACACGTTAGTTAATCTGAGTGCTATGTTAGGATTTGAAGGTAAGCGTCATTTAGTATTTAAAATCTGTGAAACTAAAGATGCTTTATAACAAAAGTATTTGATTGCAGGTGTTCCACTACACTTAGCCTTGTTTCCTAGGTTATGGTTAGATGTTCATGCTGCTACACATATAGATAGAAAACATATTGCATCTCTTCTTTGTTCTTCCTATACAGTGGATTACGTAGATGCTGTGTTGTTGGATGAAAGATCATCATTAGGAATACCAGCAATTCATGCTTTTCTTAAAACTTTCTTTCCAAAACTTGCTAATCACGTATTGACTGAGCAAACTTGTTTACTTATTGATAATTTAGTGAGTTCAATGGTGGCAATGGTGGAAGCAGTAGATATTCAAGTATCTGCACATAGATTAACAGGGGATTTAAGAGCATTGGCCCTTGTTTATAGCAGCAGTACAAGACTGAAACCACCAAGTAGCTTGTTACCAGCTTTGGAAACACTATTGTCTCGAACTAAGGCCATTAAAGTGAAAGAATCTAACCAACAGGAAACAGAAGCTCCTACAAAAAAACGTAAGTTTGCAGTTAATGAAGAAAGCGAGACCACAGAGAAAGAAGCTCATCTACAGATCAAAGAACATAATGAACAGAAAAATGTTTCTAATATAAACATCGAAAAGAAAGACAAAGCAGAAGTAAATGATATGACTTCTTCTGATTCTGGAGATGATAAAACCATATCAAGAAATAATATTCAAGCAGAAAATATACCCACGAGTATCAGTACGATATCTCCTGGTTTAATTGATACTGTGACAACTAACAATTGTACGAACCAATTACGATGTTCGTTGACTAACGTTTCTTGGTTTGAAATGTTGGAAAAGACGATTGTCGATCTACAAACTATTGTGCAATTGCAAACAAAAAGTAACTAATTCTCTACGTGTTTTGAATGGTGCTTTTATCGTAGAAGCATACAATACAGGACTAAGTTTACATGTAACTGTGTGGTTCTTTAAAATAACAAGATGAAAATTCAGTTATACATTCAAGATCTACATGGACAAATTTTAGTGCGTTTGTGTTCTATAAAAAAAGGATACGTATGTTACGGTGTATGTATCAAATGCGATTTATTTTCCAAATGTAGGTAAATATAATAATAAGATAGCTTTATCAATTTAAGTTATAATAACATATTCAGAAAGGAAGAAACAAACGGATCATTAATTGGGACTGAACAATTCTGATTTTACATAATAAATGTTCGTTAGTGCTGTGAGATTATCTATCTCCTGGCAATGTTTATGTATACTTCTATGTGTACAATGATATAAGCCGCCCAGTATTCAACAACAGGAATTGTGGAAAGCCTTGAGATAATTTAAGAAATGCAATTACAAAAACTTTATTAAAACTATAATCATTTTTCTATACTTATCTCAATTTTGAGGGGTGTGACAGGGTTTTTTCAGTTTTTCAAAATAAAATACAAAATAATAGTATTTCTTTCAATCAGCTCTCAAGCTGTATATCTTTAAACATTACTTGCACACTGAATTATAAACTTCATTAATTGGTCATTGTAATATACTTTCCATCATATTTTTAATGTTTCCAAGTAATTAATCATGTAATTTATGAATGAGTAATTTTATCATATAGATCATTGCACGTTTATTTAACACGTCTTTCTAATCTAATTTACGTGTAAGGTTATATTATTTTATTTTTTTTATGCTTAATATACGCATTAATAAAGATATTTTTTCTTTTATTTTTTGAGTAAATCATACCAAACATCCGGTAAATTTACTTTCAATGTCGTAAATCTGTTTCGTTGTATTTTTAGTTCATTTATTTAAACGAAATGTTCAAACATATTTGTCTATATTTCGGGCAATAGATCGCAATCGTTTTAATCGTCGAAATTATACCTCGCAATTTTTTGAAAAAATTATTAAATTAAAACATATTATTAAATAATATAATTTTCTTCTTATAAAAATAAAATTTAATCTTT